TAATACTCCTACTCTTACACAGGCATCTCTCCGCTTTACTGTGAAGAACCATAAGATTACTCTGAGATTTTTCAAAAGGGTTCACAATGGGGGGAAAAAAATGTTTATTTCTTACTCCTGCCAGATGCCAGCCAGGGCATCCACCACCCCGTTCAAAAAAACTACTATTGTGGAACAATAGCAATGCACAGAAATGCAAAATAAGCTCCTTTAGTCAGTCCTGTTTATGCCCTGCCTCTCTTGTCCCAAAAGGTACCTTGGGACTTAAGCCTGTTTTTGCAAGAGGCTCTTGTGCATTCAGAGTGTGTGCCCAATGGTTGTATGGGAAAATAGATCAACCCAGGCAGTCTGGTGGGTCTCATCTTCTACACATGCAAAATCAAACATCCCTGAGAAGTAGATCTCAAAGTAAATCTGACTTTGGAATAGCAAAGCACTGAATTTGAAGAGAGGCTGGTAAATATTTGGAAAAACATTTCTTACGCAAAACAGCAGCTAGATGTGAAAACACTCCTACATTAAATATGTACAGTAACTACTCATGCCAAGTGTGCTGACGTTGTGCAAATGAAAAAGTAACAGTACTGTTACAGTTTTATTGACACTTTCCTGAGTGTTTCTCTTGGAAACATGCAGTAACTGATGCATAGTTTAAGCCAAGTGACCTAAATCCTTTTCTGGATTTTGTTCTACTGATTAGGCAAGCTGAAGGTAGTGTTCTTTTGTCCTCAAACCAAACTTTGCCGAGAACGAGATTCCCTTCATAACTAGTCCTTTGCGATTTTGCAGTATCATGGCTCAGTTGATATAGAAGACAGTCTTACAAGTTTTCTAGAGTATTTCAGCATAAATGCTAAGCCTTAAGGAGACATGTTTCATAGTATAAACATGGTGCTTACAACGTCAACTTCTCAGCATTTTATGCCTGTTTAAGTGAATAAACTTGAAGTGTCTTCAGAAATGCTTCCATATGAAGGAGACATTCAGATGTCTCTTTGATTTCTTAAGAGTATTAGCATTTAATTATGTCTGTACCTGTAAGAGCCTAGTTTTACCTAGCAGTTTGTCCTGGACAATTTCATACATGTTTTGAGCAGAGATGCAGAAAGCTGGACTGGAATGGGCTTGAGCAGCTCTCTGCTACCTTGGCACAGGATCAGCTGCACCATTCTTGGAAACGTCCCTAGAGAGATTCAGTAATCTTCCTAGATAAAGCTATTCAGGACCCAAGGTTTTTTTAATCATAAAGATTCTTTCAAATGTTTAATGGAGATTTCCTTAGCTGAAATTCTAACTGATTATTAGTGCTTCTGTTAATAGGCATTCATAAGACTAGAAATATAATGTGTCCCCTAATATGGGATTATTTGTTCCTTACTAAGCTTGAACCGGATGAGTGATGTCTTGACTGCCTTACACTGAACCCAGATCACAGAAGAGTTGAGGTTGGAAGGGATTTGTAGAGAATGTCTAGTCCAGCCCTGTGGCTCAGAGCAGGGTCAACCAGAGCAGGTTGCTCAGGACCATGGATGGAGACTACAATCTCTAGCCAACCTGTTCCAGCATTTGACCAGCTGCACAGAAAAAAAACCTTTTTCTTAGGTTTAAATTGAACTTCCTGTGTTTCAGTTGGTTCCCACTGCCTTTTGTCCTTTTGCTGATAACTTTTGCTGGGAAGAGCCTGGCTTTCTCATCTTCCTTCTGTCAACTATTTATATACACGATAAGATTCCCCTCTGCACCTTGCCTTCCTCAGGCTGAACACCCACAGCTCTCTCAGCCTCCCCTTCCCCTTGTATGACAAGCGCTCCAGTCCCTTAATCATCTTCATTATCCTTCACTGTACTCACTTTGGTATGTACATGCCTCTTTAACAGAGCCTTGACATACCAAATTTAAAATGAGTGCAATTGTCCACCTAAATGAAAGACCGTATTTTAAATGAAAAGCATTGACCACTGGTTTTGCCAGAAATGTCTCTGAGTCATATGTTTTGAAGTAAATACCATCTTAATCTTGCAATTGTCCGGTAAACAAATGTACTTTGGACTACTGAAAAGGCTGGACAGGAAGCTGCCTTGTGACAAAAGTCCTGCTGCTTTCTGCTGTGGATCCAGGTGAATCTAAGATAGGTTCTGGTTTCTATTTTATTATAGAAAAATGAAGAAAATACCTACCATAGAAACACTTAGCCAGAGGGTATGATATGAGGGTAAGATTTGTCAAAGGACACATTTATGAAAGCATAGGTAGCTTTGCTATTTCAGTCTTTGCAAGGTACAACAGGGTGCTTTGCTCTAGGTATCCACAGTAAAAACTAGAGTCACAGTTCTTAGCTCCAGAGGTATATATGTGCATATCCAAACAGTGTCCAGATTCCAGCTATTGTGGCAGAATGCCTCTAGCAAGTTTCAGCTATCTTAAAGTGGTTTCTGTAACCCAGGGACTGGCACGCTGCCTGTATCCCAGCCTTTCCTATTTGCAAGCTAGTTAATGCACAAACAGTATCCTTGCACGTGCCATCACCTATTTAGATAGGCTGTGGTATGTTCTGCCTCTCCAGGAGAGGAAGTGGTGTATTTCAGAATAAATGACCTATTCTGTGCAGACTGCTAGACTTGGTGGAATACTTAAGGCCAAGGTGGTTTGGAATCTTTAAAAGTCCTGACAGGCTAGAGCCATAAAAGCAAATGACAGCTTGGATTCATTAACTTGTTTGCTGCATTGCTAACAAATGATGGATTAACAGCTTAAAGGGTTGGCTTGCATTCAGCGTAATTTAGTTTGTGCCTTTGATATCTGACTTCACCTTGATATCATATGATTTGTCAGTCACTTTGTGACTGAATGATATTTAGCTTGCAAATATTATGATGTCCCCTTACTGCCAGGCTTTTGTTTGTTCTTGTGCCTTTGCCAAGTTAAACCAGCTGAAAGTGTATTAAGACTTAGGTAAGTTAGAAGCTCTGAGGATTTTTCAGATCTGCAGGTTCCAGAGATCAGATCTAACGTGCTTTGCTCAAAAATGTTTTTTGAGGGATGCTGAAATGAGTATACAGCAACTGCGGTCTCTAGTCTGCCGCTTCAGATGGTTCAGGAGCAGCCACCTCTGTGCTTGCAGAATGTGCTTGGGAGGTAGTAGCAGCAGTGCAGGAAATCCTTTCAATCCCACCACAAGTAAAACAAAGTTAAGTTACCTTGGTAATGGGATATAGAACTTTTTCCTAAATGATACCCCTATAAGACATCTTTGAAATAAGCCTGTTTTACTGAGCATATTAAGAAAAGAGTGTATTAATGATTGCATTTGTTCATTTAAACCGTATGAGTGAAAATATAATTCGGAAGTCACTTTGATAATCGATATGATGCTGTCTGGAGCACTTAATGGCAGTGTACACTAGTGACCCACGTGGCAGCAGAGAACTAGTGATGTATAAGAATGCAAGGTCAGTGAAGTGGTCAGTTTTATATGATCCAACAACAGATTTCTTTTTCATGTTTTTCTGAATGTTCACAAAAATCCTCCTGGTTTGTGGGTGGGTCTGTGCCCCCTCCTCCTGAACAACACATTTCTTTGTCCTTACCTGAAGTAACAATGAAGCAGAAGTGCACCATCGGTGGTTTTACTGGAAATATATTTTCAGGTTTTAGAACGTGCTTAATGTGAACTGCTTAAACCTTTTCTGCTTATCATAAAGAAAGCAGAAAAGCTTAAATGAAAATGTTGCAGGCACCTATAAAGCCCGTAAACTATATTTTATTAAAAAACAAACAAACAAAAACAACCTAACAAAGCCAAGTATTCTGCTTTGGCATTGTGTTGGGCAAGATGATCTTTTTTGGATCACTGAGATTACATAACTAGCTTAGAAGATATGATTAATCATTTTACTTGAGGATTTTGTCAGAGATTCTTATAATTAAACAGAACTAGGCTCAAAACCTCCATTACATCATGTTCACTTTTCAATTTGCAGAAGCAGCTGTTTTAACCTGTTAACTAAATTCAGACAGAAATGTTTGTGTCGGCTGGTTTGTAAATGATGATTCCTGTTCATGGGACTTTCTTTATAAATGATAATTAAGAGGGGCTGGCAGCAGCTCCAGCAGTTTAGTTCTTGTTCACTGTTTTTTGTTTAATTTCAGTACTAGTTGTGACGGAGCAAGTGGTTGGGGATGGCTATGTGTGTGTATGCTTAGCCCTTGCCTGTGATCGCTGGGTACAATATCTATATGTGTTTCCTGCACCTTGACCATTAACTGCATTCTCTGTAGGATGTTGAAGGCAATTCTAAAACCATCCTAACAGTTGATTCTTTGATTTTATGCCTCGTAAGAGAAAGAATAGGATTGGCTATAGAAGCTGTTTCTGTCAAGACTCACACAGCTGCTGCTTCACTTTTTTTTTTGTTTCTGAGGATAAATGAAGTCTTCGGTTTCAGAGCTATCATTTCTTTCAGGGCTAATGTTAGTTTTTACAACATAATCAAATATGAAAACAAAATGTTCTTTCTGCTTGTGATGCAATGAAGACAAGACCGAGGTCAGGATGGGTACCTTATGGGTACTTGTTTTATTTCCAGAGGAAAAATACTTTTAGCCACCACACAGCCTCTGTTGAGGCTTCAGAGGGAGAAGTGTAGCGTGAAGCTTGCATGAACTGGTAAGAGGCTAAAGCTTAAAGTACCTCATGATGGTGAAGCTAGTTATTCTAAGTATTCCCTGTTCCACAGGAGTTGTGTTATATGAAAATATTTATCAGAATAGTTAGGTAACTATAAAAGAAGGAACAGAGAGTAGAGTTTCATTATGCAGCAGCTTTTTCTTACTCTTTTTTCCATTCTTTTGGAGGGGAGGGTGTGAGAATAATGGGTTGCAAACTGGGATTGGCTGAAAGACTTTTTGAGTTTCCTAGTGCTAATTATTTGAGAGAAATCATTTAGTTTCAAGGTTGTTGCTTGCTGTCTAATCCATTTAAACATGCTTTATTTTAACAGATTATCTCGCCAGCCATGGCCGTCTAAGTGAGTCTGAGGCCAGGCGCAAATTCTGGCAGATCCTCTCAGCAGTGGAGTATTGCCACGGTCGAAAGATTGTTCACCGTGACCTGAAGGCTGAAAATCTTTTGCTTGACAACAACATGAACATCAAAATAGCAGGTACTCGGAATGTAGATGATACTCAGTAACACCTTATTTTTATGAAGGCCGTTCCAGTAATTCAGTTGCTGCTGCCCAAGATATCCTGCTGTGCTTAAGGTACAGAAAATCAGAGTGGTAATACATGTAATATTTTTGCATTATGGATATCACAGTATATGTAGCTAAAGATTCCTAGGTTAGCTCTATTATACTTTCAGGAAAAAGGAAATAATTTTTAGAGTTGTAGTTATTTTTTGTGGTTGTCACAACATGTCTATAATGCTGCCAGATGTTCAGGTTAAAACAGAGTTAATCAAATAACTTCTTTCAACATTAGAAAAACTCAGAATGGAAGCTTATTGATTTTTTTTCTTTTTGCATGCGTGATTTCATTTTAATTATAAATTTAGACACAGCAGATGTTGCTAGCAATGGAAATCATTTTCTCGGTTGTCAACTCATTACAATTCCACGAATCCTTCCATACTGACTTTAGCCCAGCGACACTTGAAATGGGAAAGCTAGATAACATCTTGATTTGGAGGACTGTTGAACATCAGTAATACGGGAGCAGGAAAGGAAGGCTAACTGCTGTTAAGAAGCTGATTTGTATAGGAGTAAGCTTGCTAGTTCTGAGAAGGAAGTGTGAATAGATAGCCAATCAGGCTGAGAAAGGTAAAGTGATAAAACGTTTTTGAGTTGTAGATCACTGCTGGATTATTTTACACTTGAATTTCCTCTCTGGCATTTCTGAAATGGATGAACTGAAAACGTATCTTGATCTCTAATGCTTTCTGTAAGGATAAAATCGCAGAAAAGTGTTAAATGTGCCAGCAGCTCTCTAAAAGGTGCTCTCCTTTTTGTCTATGGAATACGAAGACAGTGTCCTTAAAGATTTTAAAGGAAAAGTTAACACCTGTTTAACTGGTTAGCATCTGTGTCATGAAGACTCACCCCTTTCTCTGCAGTACTACAGCAAACATTGGGAATACTAGGCAATTAATTCTGGGGATTAACTTCACCCTCAGGAAAAATCTTTTAAATCCTTTCAGGTCATCTTTATCGGAATGGGAAATCTACACAGTCTTTTAAAATGAGCACTCACCTTTGACATGAAAACTATTTCTTGAGCAAGAATTTTATCCTCTTTAAACTTGGAGAAAAGGAACCCATAGTCATTGCTATCAAAAAAACCCCAAAAACACAACATAGGTTAGCTTTGCCTATGAAATGGGATTTTACTGATGGACTAAGAAGGATTTCTTATCAATGTATGTATTAATGGAGTAGCTTTCTCAGATCCTGGATACGTTTGTTGCTTTTGTATTGAGCTTTGGTTTTGTCTGTATGTTTAAAACATTCATTTCTTCATTCCTTTACCACCACCTTTCCACCTCTAGTCTCTTTTTCGCATGGTTTACGAGTTTACAGAAAGGTTAAGTAATGGATAAATTAAAATTGGGGAAAAGGAAAATACAGCTATGTGAGTTCCAGAACCATGATTTTCACGGAGTATTAGGCCACTGTTTCTTATCAAATCTGAATGTAAGGTGGGGTTTTTTGGCAGAAGGAACAGTGTGGAAAACAGATTCTCTGAAGCTAGAGAGGGAAGCCTATTCATCTGCTCTTTGGCATGTTCTCTGTATTTCATGGCTCTTTAGCATCTCAGAGTGGGAATTTTACAGCAGGTTCATAAAAGCTCTAAAAATTGTTATTTAACACTTTATATAAATTAATAGCACAGTCTTTGCAGTAGCCTCTTTTTCATTTCATTTGATATTAAACTGTTTATGGTTATCTTTTAATTTTCTCTATACTCTATTGTGGGCTTTCGTATTAATGTTAAACTGTAAAAATATTAAAAGCTACCATCAGCTGAAGTAAAAGGGGTTTGCAGCTGTTGTAGCAGGAAGATGCAGTTCTGGTATAAGTTCTTATTTAGGTCATTTGATACCTGAAGAAAGCTAAAGAAACAGTTTGGGATGGAGATGATGTCTGGCCTTTATAACGAAGTGGCCCAAGTATAGTAACTAATAACATTGAGATTGTATTGGTGGTGATGTCTCAAAATTCTGAAAACTAATAGGGCCACCCACACTGTTTGCTCACAGCTGTTGGTAATAAGGCTGTGAATTTGACAGTGAAAGGGTTTTTGTACTTTGAGCTTTAATCTAGTGGGTTCCTCGGCACTACCGTTTGTAGAGTATTTTTACTTATTTCTGATTTCAAACTTGCATTTATTTCTAGCACCTACTGACAATCATAGCACCTGGAGATTTATGACTAACATATAATTGTATTTACCAGGATAATGTGTGGCTTCAGTAAATACCGTGTCTAAGGACTGCGAGTCACATGGACCCCACTTATATTTAGTTCAGTTACTCATAGTAAGGGAATTTTTGTGCTATTATTCATCTATGCTTTTTCCTCGCCTTCTGATCCGCCACTTTTCTCCCCACTTTCACCACCACATTCTATCCCTTCTAGTTTCTTCTCCTCCACATCAGCGTTCTGCACTGTAGCTTGTCACGTTCAGCCTGGCATAGTTTTTCAGAACTCCTCAGGGGACTCAACTGCGCTGGAGCAGGGCCATGTTCAGAGGTATTCCTTTCATGGATGTCCTTAGCACTGCAGGGATGCAAGTTCCCTGCCTCCCTGAACAATGCAGTGCAAGAATGACACAGGCTCACAAAAACACTACTTCAAAGGCATCTCAGGAGACCTGTTAACCAAAGGAAGGTTAGACACATGAACTGTTCTGTCGCAGGGAATTTCAATGCATAGGTTCTCCAGGGACTCAAATAAAAGCATTGATAAATGGTAGTTACTAGATTCCATCAGCTGCTGCTGTCTCTTTCCTCCTCTTAGCTGCTCTTGTGCTCTACCTCTCTGTTACACAAAGTTAATTACAGGTGGTCTGTATGTAAATGATCACATTAACTGGCAGTGATTCATATGGTTTGATTCTTTCATGTGTCTTTGTCAAGCTTTATCAGATTGATAGCAATTCCCGTGTCCAGCTTTGGTAATAAAGTAGCTGGAGGAAAGTTATGACTTGGTAGTGATTTGTGCTGAGTCGGTTATTTTATTTTTCTCTGTAAAGGAGATAGACAGATGAATTCCACAGAATGGTTCATCTGTGATTTTGGAGTTATCTGGTGCTGTGCAGATCCCTGAGAACAGTCTCTTCCGGTGGTTCATATTCTTCATGGTTCATTTATGAAACTGTGAAAGAACAAAGGGTAGCCAGGATTCCAACTCTGATAGCTAGAATTACTCTCTAATTCTAATGAATCTAGCAACTGCAAAACAACACAGTAACTGATGAATTATTTTGATAGAAAGTTCTGCAGTGTCAGTGTTTGCACTGGGCCCCAGCACTATGCGCGGGGCTGTCCCTTGCTGATCACTCCAAGCAGCTATGAAATCTACATAGATACTCGTGGCCATTCCAGGCTCTTCCTAACTTCCAGTGGACCTCTTGATTCATTCTGATGCTTCTAAGACTTTTATTGAAGCTTTTACTCTTCAAGAATACAGCATTTTTTAGCCAAATACAGAAACATGCATAAAGTTACCTCTGTATTTCAGCTACCAGGAGAATAAACCAAGATTCAGAAATAAGTGTTCCTAAAAATGTGAGCTGATGAGACTGCCACCTTTTATGCTTGAACAAGGAGGCTGGACTGAAATTTAGTAGTTTTGTGTTAATATTGCTCTAAAAGGAAGAGGATAGAATTCAAAGGATCTTTCTTTTCAGTCCTAGCAACTGGACAAGAAACAGGATGCGTAAAGATCTTGACATGAGAGCTTTGATAGACTGTTATTTTCTAGAAGAGACTAGGTAGTTGGGAGCAAAAGTCTCAAATTTTAGCATAAGTAACATAAAAGAAGGTATTAATCAGATAAAATGTCCACTGAGAAGGTTGCGGCTGAAGAATGCCATACCAGGCAGTCTCCATCAGGTTTGACATCGAATTTGTTTTTATCACTACCAAAGTAAACCTTCTTTGTTCTTCTCAAAGTTATTGTGTGTAGATAGCTGGATTGTTCACGTACCCTTTACGTTTTGCTGTTTTTTGAAGGGTTCATAGGAACTGGATTGCAGTTACTGATCACTGATACGCTATGCTGTCATCAAATAAAACTTGCTTACTGTCTGTACAGTGAAACATCTGTGCATTTGTGAAAATTAAATACAGCTTTGAATTGAGGATGGAATAGTGAGCTTCTCTCTGTGTACTTCCAGCCCCACAAAACTGCCAGATTAAGATGCCTTATAGATGTCTGCAGAAATCATGCCATCTTGATGGTAAAGCTACTGTGTTTGAACCAGATCAGGTAGGAGAGACTGTTATTTTGAAGTAGGTTGTAGTGCTGGTTTGTCTTTGCTGGTGGACAGTAAAATATGCATTGACGTCAGAACTGGCTGATCAGCATTCAGTTCATGAAGTGGGTCAGGTTTGTTTCTAACACACTCATACCTTTCCTTTATCAGTACCTCTCTCCCGATTATCTCCTTTGCTATATCACTATTATAACAAAAGATCCATGTGGCTCTCTGAAGCCAGGCAGATTGAATTCTGTTGGTAATTTTAGAAGAATGGATTAATTATAGCTCTGAAGCTAGTATCCCTTCTAGAGGATTTTTAGAGGTACAAATTAGAGACTACCTCATATTGCTAGATGCACAGCAGAAGTTGCAGTGGCTCTGGCAGGGAGCTTCCATTTCTCAAATTGCAAATGGGTCTGAAATCTTAGTCTGTTTCCATTTTTAATGGGAAAACAGATTCCATTTAAATGATGTATGTTCAAAAAATTATACCTTCTAAATTCAAGATTATTCTAAAGGGGGTAATGAGATTGAGAAACAAAATACCACAAATGTTGAGAGCCAATATTTGCAGATTGCACAAACACAGAGTTTATTCAACTGAACACAATGCTGCAAATGATCGTAGTTTTTTTAACGTGCAGATTCAAGCAAATGTTAAGAAGATAAAGATCACTCCATT